TCATTCCGCAACCAACGCAAGGAACAAGAGGGAAACCAGGCTCAGGGATTCTGCTGCACTTCGTGCACCTGTCCCGTCCATCGTCTCCCCTCAAGGCTTCAGGGAGAAGACCACCATCTCCCTGCCTACCGGCACCATTCACACTATAGCCGAGGCTAAGACCCGGCCCAAGGTTACCACCGCTCGCAACACTTGAGGGGTAACCTGTGGCATTGCTAGACTGACTAACGCCAGCGCCAACCCCTTGGTGACTAACGCCACCTCCGTAGGCAGGACCATAGAAGCTGGAACCACACTGATTGTTCCCAATTCCATGAGCATCCGCAGCACTACCGTGGAACCCAGGCGCTCCACCAGGGTAACCCCCGGTAGGAGCCCCTCCACTCGGGCCTCCAGAAGGCCCAGCGGGATCTTGGCCTCCACCATAATGTCCAGGACCTGGCGGTGGAGCTGGGGCATGTCCAGGCCCACCACTTCCGCTTCCACCTTGACCAGGTGGTCCGCCTTGCCCACCACCTCCCCCGGGAGGAGGAGGAGGGGGCGGTCCAGCTTGAGCGCGTTCATGCCGAATATTGCAGCGTGCACATCGCTCAAGGCCGTCATTTCCGAAGTAACTGTGATTCTCACAGACGTGAGTCCCACAATCCGTACAGAGATACATGGGAACTCCTGAGCATTCTTGCGGCATGCCCAGCATTTCATCTTCAGGAACTGACAATTGCAACAGTCCCCGTCGTCACCACGACAAAGCCCGCAGAATTCACGACTGCATGTCACACACGAGAATTCAGCATTCGGGTGCCTACGGTCGTTGGGATCATCGAGGGCACAAATCTTTGGCGCTTCTGGGCCATCACCGCCGGGAGCCCCTCTTGCAGCCGGCGCTGAGGCCTGTCCACGATCCGACGGAGCTCCGGTCCCTCGCCTATCGCCGAGACTCTGGGTGTCGGCGCTGGCTCTACTCCCAGGAGTCCTCCACTCATCACCAGGACTCTGGATGTCGGCATGAACCCTATTACCCCCACCACCTCCTGAATGACGACCTGGGTTCGGAGAGACGTTCCCGCTATCGCGGATTGGCCTATCAAAACTCGGAGAGACGCTCCCGCTATCGCGGATTGGCCTCTCCCCCCTCGGTTGTCGACTCCGGACCTCAGATCCCCTATCGGGGACGGCAGCAGGCCTCGGGCTCCTATTCCTACCCGCATCCCTATTGGGGGAAATAGAAACGTCCCCCCTTGCGCGCGCGCGGGGACCACCCCTTGCACGCTCCGGTGGCGAATGCGACCTGTCAGGCAACCCCCGAACCCTCCTGCTCCTGCTGTCGGACCTCTCCCTAACGGGATAGATGGGATGCCTGTCTGCGCGAGAAGGATCGACCCTATCGGGCACATTCGGCAAAACATGATCAGGCAAAACAACGCCTCCGCCTGGTCTCACCGGCAGGCCAGTACCCCGGCCGTCACCTTCCCCTGGTGTAGGCGTCGGTGACCTGATCCTATGTCCTTGCCCCGCAAATGCATGGTAACCAACATTCCGTCTTTCTCTGGGTTGTGGAGGAGCTTCATTAATCTGCTGGACACCCTGAATAATGCCAGCAGCCTCGTCAAATTGACCCTCCATCTCAAAGAGCTGGGACATGATTCTGTTGTTCGCGGCGCTAAGGTTACGCACGTTACCATCGATAGCGCTGACTCTCCGCATAACACCTTCAAGTGTACTCCGGAATGTGCCGAGCTCTCGCCTAACGGCAGGCTGCACTTGGTCACTGCTGGCAGGAAGATTACGGATCTGTCCTTGGATGCCATCAACGACCCGATTCACAACTGCCGATCTCGCTTCATACTGTTCAACATGTGATTTCACGGTTTCAAACCTAGAAATGATGTCGTCATGATCCCGACGTTGACGTTGAATTCCTCGAGCCAGATCCTGCATCTTCCGATTGATCTCGTCAACAGCCTCATGCCAGTCCTGCGGGGAATCATGCCCTGATGGTCTATCGACCTCCTGAGAACCCCTTCCACTCTGCAGTCTAGACACTCGATTAACAAGACGAGTGTGCTCCTCTTTGACCCCCTCAATAGATTCAGAGGCCCACTTGGCAAATGTCTCGTGATCAAGGAGAGCTTTCTCGATCTTCAGGTTTAACTCCCTGAAATTTGCATCGACTACACTGCCGCTGGCCCTATCGGACGGATGCGCGACAGGGTTCGGGTTCCATACACCTGCCGGGGTCCGCATCCCAACGGCTTTCTCTACCGAGAACATCCGTTTCTCAAGCTTATCCAAATCCTTAAGGGTCTCGTCCTCAGAAGCAGCATGGCTTCTGCGGGCAGCCTCACTATTCTCCTGAATCATCAGGCGAAGCCGATCAGTCGATGCCTCATTGTCCCTGACAGATTCATGGACCTCGTGGGACAGTAGGTTAATCCTCTGCTCCACGACCTCGGCTTGCTCATCGATGGCTTGCCTCACAATGGCCTTGCTATCGGGAATAACTTCCCTTGCGAACCGTTGAACTATCATTCGCATCCTCCCGGCATCAGATTGAGTCGCAACCTCAGCTGCCAGGCGATCGACCTTGTCCTTCGTCCGTTGACTCTCGTCGCTCCATTCCCTTCGCATGGAACTCACCTGACCGTTCAGTACCCTGATTTGGTCAGCAAAGATGTGGAACGCCTTCGCGACTGAGCCAGAAACCTCACCTCTCTCGAGCATCTCCTGGATGTGCAAATCGAACACCTCCTTCGCCCTAGCGTCACCTGATTCGCCGGAAGACTGGGATCTGAGGGCGGGAGGAGTCGATATCTCGATCCTCTCAGGAGCCCCACTAGCCCCGGCATGTCTTCTGGGGTCATCCATGGGACAATCATCAATCCTGGATGGTCTACTCGGGGTAGACCCCCTTCTCCGGCTATCGCCAGATCGAGGATCAATGTTGGATGCACGCGACTCGGGGGTGGAGTGGATGTGAACATCAGCGGGATCGGGCATCTCCTCATCCTGCGGAGTTGAATCCATTGGTGAGGGGCTAGCCCTCCTCGCCTTTGACCTATCGGTCTCAGCGGCGAGAGGTGACGGTCTCTTCGCAGAAACACTACGTTCCCTGGCAGTCGAACCCCATTGAGGTGTGAACTCGTTGCTAGACCTCAGAGTTTCAAGATCACTGGTATCTCGCCCTAACGGGCTAGCGATCGACGGACGATCTTCGATCCCGAGTGCATCGGCAAGCCGACCATCTCTGGCACCTGTCCTAACAACATCGGCAGCCCGCTCAGTGATCCTCGGTGAACCAGTAACCCGGTTCGAGTTCACGTCTCTCTGACTCAACGGACCTCCAAATGTGATGTTGGGAAAGGGGGAACATTCGGGGAATCACCAATCGCCGGGGGACCTACCGGTCCCTCACGGTCATGGATGGCCTCCAATCCCCGAAGAACTTCCCGACTGTCCCTGGCTCTCTCTCTCTCGCTTCGGGCATCCCTGTCAACGCGAAGGTCCCTGGCGGCTCCACGAGAGAGGCTCCTGGGCCTCGCAGCATCACGGATCCTAGCATTTCGTCGTGGTTGGTCCTCCTCCTCATCACGGCGATCCGCAAATGCGGCATACTCGTCATCATCATCGACCTCAAACTTGGCAGCGGCGGGACTAGTCCTTGCAGTCGCACGGCTGCCTGCATCTCGGCGCGAATGGCTCTCCTCCTCATCCGCAAAATTGTAACCTTCGCCATCATAAGACTCAGATTTGGCAGTATTAGGGTTGGGCCTACCGGCATCAGATCCCTGCTTTGAGCTACTGCCCCAACCTGCGGTTGATTTCAACAGATCATCGTATCCGAAGTCCGTGAATTTCCGCTCCTCGTGCTCATCAAACTGACCTGGATTTTGAGAACCAGTGGATCGGCCCGGGATACCTCCCGGAGCCAGAACCATAGTCCCTGGTCCCTGCGGCCTATTCTCAAACTCATCCGAGACCTGCGACTCACCTGGAACAAGAGATCTCGGAGGTCGAATCGGCATGGCCTCCGGGTCATCCGAATGAGGGCGGGCCATGTCCATCGCCATGCTGATGAAGTCAAAACGTCCACGCCTATGACCTGATTCAGAGCCACTCCTACCGGAGTAAACCCTTCGTGTCTGCTCGTCATCAGTGGCCTGGCGGAAAATACGATCGTCTCCATCGTCGGCGTACCTGCCACGGCTCCTGGGTGCATCCCTACCGGGATCTTCACCCCTGCGGTCCTGACCTGTTGAACCTGCTTCGAAATCCTCGTAGTCATAGTCCGGCAGGTCCTCACCTGAGCGGAGGCCACCTAGGATGGCCTCCTCATCCACGACACTCCTGCGAGATCGTGGGGTCGACATAGAGCTTGTAGTTGATGGTCTCAAGCGCGTAGGAAAGTCCTACGGCTGATAACCTGTGATTCGGGCACGAGCCTGTGCCCAGGCAATGGGTAAGTTGGGGTAAACAAGCCACAAAAGAAAGGTTCCCCAAAAGCAAACCAATCCCCGGTCCCAAAGATCAGGGTTTCCCACACACCAGAGAACAACAACCAAAAGGGAAAATAACCAAAGTAGAAAAGGATACCCGCAACCTAGATCGACGATGAACCGCACGGGCGATCCCCACCAACCTACCCCGGGCCGAAGTCTCTTTCTCCTCCGACACGAAGGCGGTCGACGTGAGGGCCCGGCGACGCTCATCCGAGGCGCGCCGGATCCAAAACTTGAGCCAAACATCACAGGTCAGTCACTACCGCGACATCCCTGTTGATGAAATGAATCATGGCTAATCACACATTATACACCTGAACATTGCAACTTGTCAATGTTGGTTTCTCTTTATTCTGGTGTTGCAAAAGCAACATGTTTCAAATGGTTGCAAAATGTAGATCTTTTAAGGAGCCCTGTTTAAAGGGCCCGGTAAACTACCCACAGCTGGCCCCCCGCAGCCCAGCGACTTGCCAAATCCCCATCCCCCTGAGTTGAGGCAACCGCTGCCAGCAACGCAAGGTCCAGGGCGTCGGTCTGTCGCACCGGACGGCGTCCACTTGGATTGGTGCTGTGGATGGTTGCGTTGGATGGATCCAACGCACCGTTCAGAAACCCTGGCTTCGGATGATTGCCCTGTACATACTAACAAACTAACAATGGTTGTGCTACTTGTAGTACTGTGGCTGGTTGCGAAATCCATCCATTTCGCACCAGTTTTGACCCAGGAAACCAACATATATGCGGTAGGTCCTAGGAACCCCCCCCCCCAAAAGGAGATTCGTTCCAGGTGCAGAGTAAGAAAATAACACGGATGGTTGCGACATCCGAGACCAACGCACCGTTCAGAAACCCCGGTTTCGGATTCGATGGCCTTGTGAATACCAATAAACAAGGACCGGTTGTGTTACTTGTACTACGAGGATGGGCGTGAAATTTGAGACCCCACCAGTTTTAAGCCATGCTTGAAACCATAACGTTGGTTGATATTAAAGGAAACATGAGAAACCAGGGTTCCTTAGGAGTTGCAGGATTTCGTCCATCCAGAGTATTTTGTTTTGTTGAATGCCTTTGTTTCTATGGGTGTTCTTCAAAATTAGGACCCCTCCAGATGTGGTTTCCTTCTGGTTTTCCTTTAAAACACATCCAAAAAGAGGTCCGTATGATACCATATTGAATGACAATTAAGTGTTGGCGGTTGGGATGGGTGGCTTGGACGCTATGCCCTAGTTCCACTCAGCACCCGTCCAAGAAGCCGTTCTAAGAAGGTTTAAGAACACGTTCTTGGGTTGAGGAGGACCTTTGGTTGTTGGTTTTAAGACACTCCCCTGAGTTGTGGAGGACCTTGGTTGTTTCCGCATTGATTCCGGGAAAGAACCAGTGTTCGGTATGGAATACATGAAACATGATCCGTCCCCTTGAAGATTGACTGGAGCACGTGCCAAAATTTGCACGGAACGCATAAAGAATACGTGAGGTAACTTAAGTCTCTAGGGGTTTATTCCCCATTCTTTTCAGCCATCATTCTTTTCAAAAACCAGCCATGTCCCCGGTTTTCTAGAAAGAAGGATCCCTGGAAAGAATGGAAATGGAGGTTACCCCTAGAAAGTCCAACATGGAAGCCGCCATCTGGAAGGCTTCATGGAATCGGTGCCTTTGGCACTTACCTCCGCCCGTGGACATCTTTTACTCAAACAGGGGGGAGCGGGGGGGAGCGGGAGGGCAGGGGGGGGGGGGAACGGGGAGGAACGGGGGGGGGGGGGGATTCAGCAATTGATGAGAGAAAGGCACAGGGACACCGCCCCCCCCCGCACCCAGGAAAGGTTCTTTTAGGCAGCAAAGGTTCTTGGAAGCACAGGGACACCGCCCCCCCCCGCACCCAGGAAAGGTTCTTTTAGACCCCTCTTAGCAGCAAAGGTTCTTGGAAGGGTTCGGCAAAGGCCTTTCTGGAGGATGAGCACTAATGATCACATGGAATGTTGTACCGAGTGCCTAAAGGTTTTGGGCCCACTGTAAACCCTAAGCAACGACTTTGAAGCCGTCTACGAATTTGCCTGCCAAAGAGTCCCAAACTGTTGGACACAGAAGCACGCTTACGTGTGAAGAAGAATACATGACTTAACACTCGTAGTGGTCACTAAACACCTGATTGAGGTGTGTCCACTCCTTGTTCGCCACATCCCGTCACTTCCAACAGCAATGTAGTTTGCGTCATGATTGTAAAATGCCTGTCTTTCCTAAGTGTCTTCACCTTCAAGCAACAGGTCCACCAAACTCGTTGGAACAAGCGCGAATGTACCACACATCCAAGTGATCATTTGCAGGGTGCGATTTGAACGATGTGTTGGGAAGCCCCTGGTTCATCAAGAAGGAATTGGTTGACCGCCTTCCGTCACAGGGGAAGGTGCAAAAAATATATTTTCGGCTTCAGTATCATATTGTGTCTTCCCTGCAATACAATATACAATCGTTTTGGAGGAGACCCGTTTCCAGATGGTACTTTTGGTGAGTGTACTCCGTGTCATCCCCTGTACAACAGTATACGACAATTGAACATAGAACGTTGCTCGTCATACAAGGGCCTAAATAGCTAGAATGGGGTAATGACGTTTTGGAAGTACTGCAAAAAAAAGAAGACCATATCATAGTTCTAGGGGTAAAACATATACGTGACCTTTTCAAGCCCCCTATATTCTGACCCCCCCTTTCCTTTGGTCGGTCCCCACGTGCCCTCGGCTCCTCTTTCACGCCACACGCGACGACCGATCGAGCGATGACTCGGCCGGAGGACCGGAGGACGCGCAAGCCTTGGCCTCTTGGAAGATGGGGAGCTGCTCCAGGACCTGCACCTGAAGCGCTCTGCGGTTTGTCTCTTCCATTTGGCAGAGGCCCCTGGAAGGAAACAAACATAACTAGTAGTGATGGATTCTCTTAAAACCAACCAGGGAAAGTAGAGGCCCCTGGAAAAAAGCATAACAAAAATCCAGCAGTGACGGATTCCCTTCAAAACCAACAAGGAAAAACAAAGTAGAGGCTCCTGGAAACAAATATGCGGTGGTTGTCAACAATGGGGTAGCCCCAAAATGAGCTACCCGATCGGTAAATGAAACCATGGACGATTTAACATGCGATCCATATCCTGGTGGTTTAATTTTGGCTCTCATACCCATATACGCAGTGATGGAATCCCTTCAAAACCAACTTAAGGGAAAATAAATGGAAAAAGGAAACATAGATGGATTCCCTTCAAAACCAACTTAAGGGAAAATATATAGAAAAAAGGAAACATAGTTCCAGCAGTGATACAAGGGAAAAACGGAAACATATTTTCGGCAGTGATGGATTCCCTTCAAAACCCATGCAAAAAAATGCAAAAGGAAAACATAGTTCCAGCAGTGATGGATTCCCTTTAAATCGAACTCAAGGGAAAATAAGTGGAAAAAGGAAACATAGTTCCAGCAGGGATGGATTCCCTTCAAAACCAACTTAAGGGAAAATAAATGGAAAAAAGGAAACATAGTTCCAGCAGTGATGGATTCCCTTCAAAACCAACAAGGGAAAAGCGGAAACCAATTTTCGGCAGTGATGGATTCCCTTCAAAACCAATGGACAATAAATGGCAAAAGGAACACATAGTTCCAGCAGTGATGGATTTCCTTTAAATCCAACTCAAGGGAAAATAAGTGGAAAAAGGAAACATAGTTCCAGCAGGGATGGATTCCCGTCAAAACCAACTTTAAAAAAAATAACTGGAAAAAAGGAAACATAGTTCCAGCAGTGATGGATTCCCTTCAAAACCAACTTAAGGGAAAATAAATGGAAAAAAGGAAACATAGTTCCAGCAGTGATGGATTCCCTTCAAAACCAACTTAAGGGAAAATATATGGAAAAAAGGAAACATAGTTCCAGCAGTGATGGATTCCCTTCAAAACCAACAAGGGAAAAACGGAAACCTATTTTCGGCAGTGATGGATTCCCTTCAAAACCCATGGAAAATACATGGCAAAAGGAAAACATAGTTGCAGCAGTGATGGATTCCCTTTAAATCCAACTCAAGGGAAAATAAACCATATGTTTTAGCAAATGGAAGTTCATCAGGACCTTTTTGACAGAATTCGGGGGTTCATGAGTAATCACTGTTGAGGCGGGTCCAGCTCTTGAAATCAGCCACCAAAGTGTGTGATCCTTTCAAGGGAACCTTTTGTAAAGTCTTTGGACACAGCTTCATGCTTGGCAACTCCCACGCAAGGGACTTGTTTTGCGTCTTTGACCTGTTAGGGCCTTTCTTTCAACCTGGTCAAGGGTCTGGTTTTTCTTGACAAGACCCAGTCCCCCATACAACCAAAACTCTTCCTTCTGGCGCCGCTCTTTGGCTTCTGATTGCGGGCTGCACATCACTGACTATGATAGAACACAGCCTTCATCCGAAGGGGCATTGTCCACACTAAGGGAGACCAGCAGCCTCAAGGAGTAAACAAAACACAATAAACTACAACTTTTGAGGACCAGCCTTATGGCAATCTTCACATCGCTACTGGGGGTCACTGAGTAAACAGCGACCCAATAGCTATAGAGAAAATAGAACAATTTGGTGTCAGATTAGATTGGCGTTTTCCAAGTTTAGTACTGGCTTACTATTGGTTTAGTATTGCTTTGTGCTGCTTTAGCACTGGCTTGGTATTGCTGGTTTGAGTATTTCTTTGAGCTGGCCCAGTTGGGTTTGGTATTGGCTTATTGTGGCTTTCTGCTGCCTTAGTACTGGCTTTGCCCCAATCTAGTATATCGTTGGTTTGCGTTGGCTCGTTTTTGGTTTGGTATTATTATTTGTTTTGCGGCCTGGAAAACGGTTGCACAATGGGGTATCCCATTTTCATTTCTAGCATTGAGTACTTGGGATGACCATGTAAAACCCCGTTGGACATTTGTCTTCTGAGCACTTTTATATAAAGGAGATGTCAGGAAAGCAGTTTGGGATGGGTTTTTGCTTGAAGAGATATTCTGACTTGCTCTGTACTCAGAAAAAGGAACTGGTCTCAGATGCCCAGTGGCCATGAACAAAAAGGGCATCCTTTTTTGCTTGGTGGAGTTTAAAGGGGAAACCTTCCCCAAAAAAGAAGATAAAAAAGGGCGGAATCCACTGGGCAACAGAGTGGTGGACGAGCAGAGAGATGGGAATTACCTCCGGGTTCTCTACGTGCCACCCATTTGGTTATCGCCGTTGTGGAAAACAACTGAACAAATGACATTTCCCAATAATGGGACAAGTTACCAATAATATTTGGGAGCCGAACGGAATATTGACCAACCCCAAACTCCCCAAAGCGATACAGTCCTTTAACTGGGGACGTGATTGCAGTCTTTCACTTGCTCGCTCGAATGCCAGCAGGTGAGGCCATAGCACGTGGGCAACCAAGCTCTTGGTAAACCAGAGCGACAAAATCGGGTGATGGTCCACACCAGAGGCGCCAAAAAAGAGAAGTCCGTCACTCTCTGCAGATCTCCCAGAAACAACATATGGCTCTGGTTGTCAGAACCAATCAATGGGATCCCGCTTTGGGATTGGTGAATTCACCACCCATGTTAGAACCTTCTAGGTCCTCCAGTAAAGTGGTTAGAATAAGGGTACCAACTTTTTTCTGTAGTCTATTTTAGTAGGGGAACCCTCTCCCAAAAAAGGGGTGAGAAAGGGCACCACTGGGGGACCTAGTATCTTTATGCTTGGATTGGGTCCCGTTCACCGGAACCTAACCGATTTTCAGATTTGGACCCGTATGCCACTTCTTTGGCCCCGGAAAAGTGGCCCTACTTTTCGCGCGCGACTTGGGCAAATGGGCCAATCTTTCACGCAACGAGTGGTCTCTGTGTCTGAAAGGGATCCAAGCAAATGGGATGTTCCTGTTGTTTCCCTTTTACCGGCTTGTTGTCACAAATCGTACCCTCAAGATGTTTCTTTTGTTTCCCTTTTACCGGCTGGTTGTCACAAATCGTAGCCTCAAGATGTTCCTGTTGTTTCCCTTTTACCGGCTGGTTGTCACAAATCGTAGCCTCAAGAGGAGCATCTATAGCATGCCGGTGTTCCGAAGCATGAGCCACAGCCACGCATTAAATGGGTTTAAACATGTGGCGTAACTAGGACACCAGCCGCTGGGTCGATTCAACATGTGACGTGGAGGAGCCCAACGGTCAGGGGCTAAATAATTTCAAACATAGTGTTCCAGGACCCATGCCTCAATTTGAAGTACACCACAACCACAAGTGACCAGTGGCCATGGGGAAAAAGGCACTTGCTTTGGGAGGCTCACTTTCAAGGCAACCTCCCGATCCTTCCTAATGTAAGCCCAGCAACCGGGAATGTTGAGAGTCCTGAATGTCTATGTGATAGGGTCAGGACCAACAAAAGAGGTACCTTTGGTTGCTGTTGACCCCTCTGCAAAAAGTTTAACTTTTTGGTGGGTTCAATGGAAAACCCAAAAGGTTTTAGCCAAAGAAGTTAAAGTCTGTAGATCCAACTCAATAGCAATCCTTGGTACCCATCCCGCTTGGGTGTCCTGGAAGGTCAAGCAACGGGCCGTGAAGGTACCCAGACTGGAAAAACATCCATTTCGCACCACCGTTCTGAAACCCTGGAAGGATTTGATTCCCCTGCAAATACCAAGACATCATAGTTTCGACTATCCATTTCGCACCACCTAAGAAACCCTAGGACCATGGCTTCTTAGGTGGTGCGAAATGGATTTCGCAACCATCCAGAAGGCCAAACAACAATGGTTCCAATTCTCTTCCGCCCCTTTGGGTCATGTGCCCCAACCACTCCTCGTGTCGAAAGCCGCTCGCCGCACGTCTCTGAGTCGGCCACGTCGAAAGCGGCCACGTCGCTGAGCAACGTGGACAGCGTGATCTCGGTCAGAAAGTGGGTGCCGGAAGCGTGTGTATGTGTGTGTATGCACATATATATATATAGAGGCCGGGTGTTGGTGGGGATGTTATTTTAACATGCAAATGCTTCTGTATATATATATATATATGGTCACCCCCCCCAAAGGCCTACCTTCCTATATATTTTAGGTGAGGGTATCAACTCTACTCTGCCGGGGGGGGGGGGGGAGCATATATATATATATATACATATAGATATATATTACACATATGACTTTCGCACGTGTCTTGCGTAATTGCCCTCTTCAGGTTTGTTTTAGGACACCAAAAGGAAAACCGGAGCCCTGCTTGGGGGTCCAAATCCCTGCTTGGACATTGCAAGTTTTTATACGGACCTCGAGCTCCATACTAGCTCCAGTGAAACAAAGTGTTTAACGTGTGCCGTTCTTTCATCTCAAAGTTGGTCAAGTTTGAAGCCTCTAGCTTTCCTCACACTAGGATCTCAGGGCGTAAATTTCAGAGAGCTTTTAACAAAAGCAAGAACAACCAGCAGCCAACCAACCAACCAACCGAACGACCGACCGACCAACTAACCAACCAACCAGGCAACCAATCAAGCAAAAAACAGACAAACAAACAAACAAACAAACAAACAAACAAACAAACAAACAAACAAACACAACGTCTGACAGTTTTAAACCGTTTGTGTTTGGATGGTCATTGAAACAAACCTGGAGTCCGCCTTCACAGCGCCCTTGAAAGCACCAAGCTTTTCAAAGATTTGCTTAACGTTGACCCCCCGGATCTAAGTAGAACCACTGTTTTGTAAAGAGGGGGTGCCTGGATTTAGTGGGGAATCATCACTTTTGGAGGGGAACACTCCCCTATGAATAAACTAGGCGTGTCAATACGGGGTCAACATTCACAATCATGCCCTGTCCGTGTTTTATGGAAGCTGGGGGGTCCTGGAAGACTATGTTGCTTTACAAGGGACCATTTCCCTGGTAAGTTCCATGGCAGGAGGGTAAAACAAAAACAGTGATTCCCTTTACCAAAAAGAAAAATCAGCTCCAAAACGGTGTAAAACAAACCGAAGGGCGACGGAAGCCACCCTTTTGGGCCACCTTTTGGGACTCTGAAAGCTTGGACTCGGGAATCCTTCTGGCCCCCAACCTAGCCGAGCCAGAAAGAAAGCCAGGGACCTCGAAAGACTTGACCGTGTGCGCGTGCGGCGTGCGGGAATTTTGCAACTTCTGAACTGCTGGCAGGGGACGCAGTTCATGACTGACGGAGAAGCGGACTTCTTCCCACAACCCATTCCGTTTCGGATGGCAAGCGGCACCTTGGACTCCGAATTCAATTCCTGAAATGCCCGCAACTGTGAAGGTGCGTGTTCTCAGGAATGAGCTTCCTTCAACCAAGGAGTCAGGAGATCCCTATGACTCTAGGACCTTCTTTGATTTTCTGGCCACAAACCAAGGCCCTTTTGGTCGGGACTCAAACTTGGTTTTGGGAATGAACCACTTGGGATCCCCAAACGGAAGCCACCAGTTGGATGGTTCAGTTCGGCGTCATTCCCTCATTCACTTGCCGAAACAGGGTTTTAAAAAAGACAAAGAAGAAGAAGAAAAAGAAGAAGACAAAGGAGAAGAAGAGGAAGCCTCCATTTTGGGTGGGGGATCCAAACAAACACGAATTAATCGAGCGTGCCACATTGGGTCATTTGTCATCCAAGCGAAGCCACCCGCGACTTTGAAAGGCCATTCCAGGGACCCAAGGCTTTCCTTCCTGTCACCTCCAAAAGTGTTTTTCTCGATTCAGTTCGGAAACCCATTCCCTCCATTTCCCTTTTCTGGAACCCTCCAAAACTGGGCTGCCCTCAGATCCACCGCGCTAAGGGGATGGCTGGGACCCACCAAGAAAAGTGGTGGAAGCCACCAGCAAATCCAGTGCCCCCTGAGGCCCTGCACCGAATCTGGTCTTGGGAAGGAATCCTCTGGCAAACCAACGGATTAGATCCCCCAGCAAAAAGTTTAACTGTTTGCTGGTTAAAAGGACATATGAGGGGAATCCAACAAGTTAAAGTCTAAAGATCCAACCCAACAGCAGAGGTTCGGGGTCATTCCAACACTGACAACCTGCAGAAGTGTCGTTTTGATCGGTTAGTTTGGTTAGAAATCGATAGGTTAGGTTCCCGTGGTTTAGACGGGTGTTACTGCCCATTTGCCATGGAAACCCATGGATTTGTGTCTGAACAGGTCACCTCGGCCGCATTTAGCTCTCTCTCTCCGTCAGCTCAGGTCCCCGCGTCACCTTTGTACGTGGCCATCTCATGCACCGCCATGTGCCGCGTCTCATTCCTGAGAAGCAACAGTACCGTTCGGGTTATAACCTACTTGGCCCAACTCACTCAAAATAGGTGATACCTCAGGTGGCGATACATGCTAACTTGGCCGAACAGCCGACTCCCCACGGACAAATTGTCACGGGCCGTCTGCAGTTTGAGTCGAAATTGCACATTCCGAGGGGTTCTCAACATTACCTGCCCACGGAGTAACATGGAACCTGACGTTTCGGGGGATTTTGGGGGGCCCTGGTTACGCGGCGAGATCCGAAGCCTTCCGGGACAGAACCCCTGAAGGAAGCTGCCAACCGCATGCGGTTTCGAAAAGAAGAGAGTCTGTGCTCCGACTCGGCCAATCCCCAACAGGTCTTTCTACTTGTTGACTTGTGATGGTCAAACCAAGACGTGAGTTGTTGTGGAATAAAACAAACACGTGCTCAAGCCATGCTTTTGTATCCAAGCGCTAGGGTCCAGGACGTGTAAGCATGGCCCCTGTAAACTGCTCATGACGCGATGTTCAAAGGACCCGGACTTGCACAGAGAGTATCCCTAATGCGCCGCACGCACTTGTTGCCAAGTTCTGGGCGAACGGCAGTGCGTCACCCACCTCAAATGAGTGTTTCTCAAAGTGGGATTCGGACCTCTTTTGGTCGGTGTTTGAACATTTTAGGGAATGGACGGCTAGTTTGAGAAACCCCCAGATATGACGCAGATATTGAAGATACACACGAAAACCCACCATTTTAGGTTCCCCTAGAGACAAACCCAAATAAGAAAAGTAAGAAAGGGACCCCAAGAAAGAAATTGCCCACAGACTGCTTTCCCGAAACGCAACGCCGTGCTGGGACCCACTGGGTCGTGAACTTTGGAGAACCCTCCGAGATGCTCAATTCAACAGGAGTCCTCAGATTTTCTACCTGAACCCTGGCACCAAAATCTTGTGGTTTCCATGCGGACAAGTTTTCATGTGTTGCATTGCGCCCAGTTTGGACCCAGCGATATGCCCTCACTAACATGGCACCTGACTGGGGGATCACAGAAAACTATCTTCCCTTTCAAGGGGCCTTCTGGTGAGTGCCACGTTTGTGGGCAGGGTGATACCCTTTGGAACCTTGACGACCCATGGACCAAACCAAACCGAAGGTCGGATCGGGTCGATTCGCTTCGGGGCCCCGATCCCGATCCAGCTACCAGCCCCGAACTGGCCCCGCCTGTCGTGCAGCTTCGCCGGGATGGCTGTGTCCTTGCCGATCAGATCCGCCAAAACCGGTGGGGCCAGTGCGTGCAACCCAGTGTATGCTTCCAAACTTATCCCTGAATAGTGACATCCTTTTTAGTTCTTGGCCGTTGCCTGGCCAAAACCAAAATCATTGGCCGACTTGCTGGAACTTTTACATGAAAACCTGGGGTGTGACACTCCTCAACCCCATGAGGTATGCATTCCCAGTATTGAAAGAAGACTCTAGGCGTTGGATTGAAAGGTTTCAATACTGTGGATGGTTGCGAAATCCGGCGCCCCACGAAATGAAACCATGGGAATGACACCATAACGTTTGCCGGTATTTACATGAGAAACATCAGACACCAGGCTGTCTTAGGTGGTGCGAAATGGATTTCGTCCATCCACAGCATCCCTAATCCTAATCCGTAAGCCTCGTTGGGAAGCCACTACAGCAACAGAAACCACAGCTCGGGTAAGGAATTGGATTGGTTTTCAAAACCCGGCTCGAGAACCCCTTGTTCTCCACTCATCCAGCGAACCTGCCTTACTTCCCTGCTAGACCATCAGGTTTGCTGTGTTGTTTGAATGAGCCTTCATATTTTCAAGTTTCATCTCCAGCTTCAAGCACTTTGCTACCTTGTATGCTTAAAATGGGGTAGACTCGTGATGCTTCGTTACTTCTGGCTTTCGCGGCACATTTTGTTGTTTGGGGCCTCGCATCGCGCAGCATTCTATGCCCTGTAAAGCAAAGGAGACACACCTTGGACAAACCCCCGTTGAGGATTGCAAACCTCTTGTCTGGAGTGAAGCAGATGAAGGCAAATCCAAACTGTCTGCCGCCTTTTGATTCTCCCAGAAACACTTGAGCACAAACACCTCCACCCCCATTTGGTCCAAATTTTCAGGGGTTCCACAAATGCTTATGCGTCCAAGGGGCACTCCCTTTAAACCAACCTTAAACCAGGTTTACAAATTCAGCAGCGAGTCAGATAGGGCCGATCCCTCAAGCGGAACTTGCCTTGTCCTCAGGAACTTCACCTGAGTGGAACCGCTTCAGGTTCTCTTCCCCTTAAACCCATGTGAAAAAGGCACCTCAAAAGACACATACCCATATGGTCAGTTTTTTTTTTGGGGTACCCCCACCCCCGGCCCCAACAACGAAGAACACATAAGCTCTGTTTTGATTGGTCATGTGGGTGTGTCTTTCTTTTCTGGGACCCAAACAAGTATGTGTATATTGTATATACACGTGTATATATATATACAATAGAGGTGTCTCTTTGTGGTTTTCTTTTCAAGCCGCAACCAATTCAACGTCTCGGAAAAAAAAAGAAGAACAAACACATTTCTTCGAATCGCTTTTTGGACCCCTGTCTCATGGCATTCTGAAAAGCTAAAGCCCACTTGCAAGTGACCCTGGTCGGAAGTGGATCCGAATCAATCGGGAACACCACAACCCCATTGTAACTTTTAAGCACGCACACTCCTGGTCTCCGGAATTCCCGAAAGGCACTGAAAGACAGGGCTCCCTATATTTCCCCTTGAAACAAGCCTGCAAGTTGTGTCAGATTGCGGTTCGATTTAAGAGGGAGTCCGCACTGTTTGGGAAACAACCCTATAAATCCACGATGGGTTGATTCATCTAGGGTCGGAGACAAATTAGCCCCACCCCGAGAAAGGTGAAAGTTCCAAGAGCCTTTGATGTGAGAGGCATTTTGCTCTCGGACTACTCTGCCAATTCGCTCTCCGCACCAAGTGGTCCCCAAAAGGAGCCTCAGAAAATGAGGGTTTTGGACTTTTGGAGTCCCATGTGCAGGGGGGAGGCCTGAGATGTCAAAGTCAAATGGCTGCAGGATGCTGCAGGGAAGGTCTACACGGGCTTCCAGAACTCTGGTCTGAACAGCAACGTTGCGCCTGACGCGATGCCAACCGGAACCGGCATGTCCGATTCTTTTGGCTCCTTCCTCAAGAAGAACCAGGGGGGCCGCCCCCGCTGGGAAACCAGGGTCCGAGTGACCATTCCCAGTCCAAGACTTTGCAGGAAGCGCGCCGTACGGGCCATGCAAACGACTGCAGCTTCACTGGAAATCCAATGAGTCAGGGAGGCCGTTGCATGTGGAATGCGCCATGCCGTCAGCGACGAGTTTTGACAACAACTTGTCGCAAGAATTCAGAAGGAGGGCTGAGACACATGAGTTGAGGGGGGCCGACTATTGTCACAACTGCTGAGTACACCCGCCTTTAGCATCTTCTTTCAGGGTCTTCTAAAGGTTCTTGCGCACATGCTGCAGTGGAACCAGTGCGCGTTGGTTGGGAGGGTCATGAGCATCATATCCCGAAGTAAAATCTACGAAACCTACGTGGCAAAAGCACCCACCAGAAGGTTAGGGGGAATGTCCTGCAAATGGCTTCTGAGTAGCTGTTTCCCGTGAGGCCTTTAAAAGGCCGTATGGAAGGCTTGTGGATGGACAAAACCCACTTTGCGCCAGTTGCGTGCCTGTGGTATTCAAGTCGGGTTTCATCCATGCCAGTTGGTGCGCCTTGTGGATTCTGTCCATCCACAGTTAGGGAAACCATACTTGGATGTTCGATGCAACAAGATGCAACAAGTTAGTAAGTGTTGTTTTGTTTCTTTTCACACCCTTGCAACAAGTTGGAAAACAAGAAGAATAACAAAATAAGAAGAAACAAAACGGGCGGCTTAGAAGTAGGTTGTAGCCTAGGTTGCCAACAACTTATTAACTTGGAGAATCGAACACCCAGGTAGCAAAACCCAGGGCTAGGTTAACGATCCGGTCCGAACCCGGCGCGGTTCCTCGCTGAGACTCGCATCTTTCGCCAGCCAACACACCCCTTGGGGGTGGTGATTGGGTACCTTACATCACACTGCGTTACATAGCATGACCTTACGTTGCATGAAGGGTGTGATGAAGGAACCGTGTAAACTCATAACTTTACAACCCTTAGTCTGGAAGCAACCATGTTGTCTTTTGCAGCGCCCGAACCTAAAAATGAACAGAACCCAAAGCAAAACATACAAGACTTAAATCCTTGATCCAAGAACAGTGAAGATAGCCATCTCCAAATTCAGCTTCCCTCTTGTTTTGGCTTGGTGGCTTGGTGGTTTGGTTCTGGTTTCATTTGGTCATGGGTCAAAATCCCGTACCCCCAGTGAACATCCCAATGCAACCACTAAAATAGGTCCTAAAATGGGTGGATAAATTCACCAATCCCTCAAAATGGGATCCCAAAACGGTTTTTGACAACCACATCCATTTACTCCCGACCGAGTCTATCACAGACATCACTTTTCGCTCATGCTGATTCACTCCCTCGGAGGCGGCGGCGCTGATGCTGGTGGCGCTCCGCGTTGGCGCCCGCGACCGCCTCGAAGAGACTTCGGCCTCAAATGGAACATGGGCGGAAGACTTCATGGGATCATATCTTGGTTGCTGTTGAACCCCCCTTGCAAAAAGTTTAACTTTTTTGGGGTTTACTGGAAAGCACCTTTATTTCCCAAAAGCTCAAGTCTAAAGATCCAACCCAATATCAGTCAAGATATTAGGGTTTGGTAGTCTGTGTTAAAGGGGAATCCCCCTCAAACATGAAAGAACAACAGCACCACTGGAGGTATGGATATAGAACCCTTCCACAAAGTGGGTACTTTTGGGGGAACAATCAAAAGCAGAACCAAGGCTTTTAAAAGATACGTGTCAAAGAGGACTTGGCCCCCCAACATGGCGGCGTCAAAAGAGTACCCTCAACAAACACACAATCAAATGGGATTTGGAAACCTTTTGAATGAGCGAGTTGTTGCGTTGGCTTTCCCTCAAACGATCAAGCTAGAAAAGGCAACCATAGGAGCCTACATGACCAGAATGGGGGCTCGGGGTGCTTTAAGACAAAACTCCCTCATTATAAAGGGGTAAGCTATGAGAAATCATGTTGACCCCTATATGGCGCTTATCTGAAATTCCTGGTTCCCGAAAACGCCTGTCAACTTCCCTGCCCTGGTTCGAAAGTCGCGACTTTTTCGTGCAAAAGCCGTACGCAAAGATCTAGGGGTTGATTTATTTTCCATTCTTTCAACCATCGTTCTTTCCAAAACCCGGATCCGTTTTCCTGGTTTCCGGAGGTTTTCTAGAAAGGATCCCTGGAAAGAATGGACATGGAAGGTACCCTTAGAAAAGTAGCCTTCCGCAGCTCCAGCTCCAAGCCGTGCAGCCGCAACTGGCCCGCTGGCCGGATCTTGCGCCAAACGTTACAGAACATCTGGCTGGAAAGTTGCGCTGGGCCCGAAAGCTTCAAAACTCCCGCAAGCCGCTTTCTGCTAGGGGGTTGCTTTTGCAGGGGCGTAGTCTTGCGGCGAGCCTCAGGCCGCACTATCCTCCGACCAACTTTTTGCATTCTGCGCACACTGCCCGCAAGAACGCATAGTTCATCATTTCATCTTGCTTTAAGCATTACACATAAATTTTGCCAGAAAAGCATAACTCTCGCGACCTCCATCGCAACGCTTTCGCAGAGGGCAAACCAAGACACCAAAGGTTTTCCCTTTCATTCCTGAATACAAGGATCTTTCAGACGACTCCTATATGGGTGTGATTTTGTTTAAGGGTACCCTTTTTAGGCGCGTTCAACATGGAACCAAAAGCAAGCCATCCATTTTCTGAGGTTCCCTTTGTAACGTGGTCAATCAAGTCAGCTGTACCTTGGGCAACTTGATCACTGCACGTTTCTCAGGCGTAGAACCCACTTCAAGGGTCTCATGTCCAGAAAGGGGTGTCATGAAGGACAATCCTGCAAACCAGCCCGCGTTGCCTATCACAACACCGGCCTTGCTGGGTGTAATATTGTCCCGATAGGAGGGTCAATGACCTCAGGACTTCATCTGAGCAAAACTACAAGGAACCTTTTGCAGGTGAGATCAAAGACCCAATAATCTTTATATCTAGGGGAACCTTCCGCATTCTTTCCAGGCATCCTTCTTTCTAAAGAACCACCCAAAACCCTGGGGAAACGGATCCGGCTATTGAAAAGAACGATCAACCCCTAGAAGTGTGGCTTTCTCATTTTGTCACCCAAATGGTCGCTTTCAGGGAACGACCCCTAAAAGATGTGGTGTGTCCAACCGTCGAATCACAGCACCAACAAAGAACTGGGCGATGCCCAGCTTTCAAACGATGCAGTTATCCGAGCCAGTTTTGGGCGGTTGATTAATGGTTTTGATCTTCAGGGGTTCGAAGACCTGATCGGCGGTGTTGGAAATCTGGCCCCTGCAATAATAGCACAGGGATCCTTACATTATACACCTGAACATTGCCTTGTACATGGTGGTGTCCCTTCATTTTGGTGGCGAAAGTAAAGGGTTTCCTGGGTGCCAAAAATGTGTGTCTCTGTTTTTACCCCCGAAACTGGTAGTTTCCTTTCAACCAACCAGACCAGTACCCTCAAAAGGAAGAAAGACACCCTTTTCCAGGGTTTGGCTACAAAAAAAAACTACAGGAAATGGGCCCCAAAACACACTAAATCCGCTGTTTTCCTTTAGAAATTCCTTTGGTTACAGGAAAATCTACCGGAAATGGCCCCCTAAAACAGCTTTCCCGCAGACTTTCCCGCAACCCTCCCCTTTTTGTTTCCCCTCTTCGTTTCAGGGGCTCCCCGCTGTATCGCTCCGCGGATCGCTTCGCCGCGGGCCCCGGCTCCTACTCCGGACATCGATTTCCGAGAACGGGGAGAGACACGCAGCGCCGCGGGGCCCTCGACATGGAACCCCGTCTTTTGCCCCGATAAAGCCGAAAAAATATACTGGTTGACATTGGAAGGGGAGCAAAAATAAGAGATTTGTCCCCTGTAAAACCTAAAACCAAATGGTTGACGTTGGGTTAGGGGAGCAAAAAATCTCAGATTTTGGCAGTTAAGTCTTTGGAGTTCAACAAGCGAAAATGGTTTTTTTTCTCCCAACGACAACCATACAAAGGTGACGGTCCCTGTAAGTTCCTATAAGTCCCTACAAGTCCCAATATCCCCTATGGAACCAAAAAGGTGATGCCAAAGAGGTGACCCTAGGGTTCCTTGCCCTCATTAAAAGAAAGGCCTTGGGATCCAATGTGGATGATGACAATCCTTAGGGAACCAATGGTGGTTATATGAGGTTCCATGGTTTTGATGGTGGTTTGAATCCCAGGGGTGATGGTCCCTATAAGTTGCTATAAGCAACCCCTATAAGTCCCTATAAGCCCCCTACGGAACCAAATAAAGGTGATGGTCCCTATATTTCCCGACATTTCCCCTTTGGGCGGTTCCCTTTTGGCACCCAAACAAGAAACAAGGCACGATGAACTCGAGTGTGCTTCCCTTTCTACGGTTCAAAAGGCCGTGCGCATAAGTCAGGACACTAGGTCCTCCAGTAGAGAGGATAGAATAATGGTACCCTTTTTTTCTGTAGTCCATTTTATTAGAAAAAAACCCTCACCCAAAAAAGAAACGAGAAAAGAAACGGCACCAATTGCTGGGGGATGGACATGCTTGCCTTCACGAGAAGCCGCGTGACTCACGGGCCTCTTTGAGGCCCTCGGGGAAGAAGGCTTCGCAGAGCGCCGGGTAGCCCGCCACGGCCTGGCGGGCAAATCGGACGGAGGGGGGGAAAATGGAAGCATGGAAACCAAAAAGGGGGAGCCCTCGAAAATTCTTCACTTGGGCGGAGGGTCCAAGAGAAGCCTTTTTGTGAGCCACTAACATGGTCCAAAAGCCCAGGAACTTTTTGGCCAATGGGATTCCTTCTGTGGATGGACAGAATCCCGCACCACTTTGAAGCCATGCAGGACCATTGTTGCACGGTGCAGGGTTTCGCCCATCCACAGTAGGCAACTCCTCACTTCCCACGATGGTCGAAATTGAGGCCTCGACTTGTTCTTTGGCCTTTGGGGCATTCCTGACTTGAGTGGATGGTCCAAAGGAAGTCCGGGAACTCTGGTTGGCCAATGGGATTTCCACATCTTCCCGAGATGGTCCAAAAGAAAGCCTGAACTTTCTGTTTGCCGCTGGTCTTCCGCAACAGCATGCAGTCCAAATACCTGAAAAGTGAGACTAGCTCAACAGGCAACTTGGCGCCAAGAGGTCCACCTGATGTGTTTTTGTTTTTGTTTTTTTGCGGGCCTCGCGTGTCTTTTTCTCAGTTGTTCAGCGACGCTGGGAAAAAAAAGGGAACCCTTTTTGGGGCTTGGACCATTTTTAGTGGGGCAGCCCCCCCAAAAAAAAGGAACATGGGTGCCACTGAACAACTGACTTTTTCGCCTGACTAGCCCAGAATTGACGAACCCCAACCCTTGACTGACCCAAAATTGCTTTGACTCACCCCAGAATCCCCCCCCTTACCCCCTTTGAGTGGTGCCATCTCTCTCAGGAGCCTAAGACCTCAGCAGAGGGCTTAAGGTTCATTGGGGCCGTCGCGCCATCTGCCGTGGGTTTCTGGGAAGTCAAGAACAAAAAAAAACAAGGAACACCTGTCAAACTGCGGGCTGACAATTTTCAGATCTCTGCTACAAGTGAAGGACTTGTGGGTTAAATGCGGAAATCCAACCACTAAACCAAATAAAAAGCTGAACACGTAAGGGGATGGCAAGGAGCAAAAAGAAACAATTGTCAAACAACTAAGTCCAGGCCAGTTTGGGTTGGATTCGGGGTAACTAGAAGGGAATTCGGGCAACTAGAAGGCATAATCACTTCCGCGTCTCCAAAGTACAAACCTCTGTTCATGGACGCCTTCATGTCGGTGGGAAGCCCGGGGGGGGGGGGGTCGAGGAGAAACCTCTCTGCGCCACCAAGGAACAAGGAGCGCTCGGAATCCAAAAGGGAAAGGGCTTGATTCCTGGCTGGCCATTTTCATCAGAACATGGACCTATCAAAAGGCCCCTTCTGAAAGAAAGTGGCCTTCCAAGGACCCACAGTCGCGGCTTCTTTTTGTTCAGAGTGCATGGAATATTTAATAAGTGTCCAATGAGTGGAACTGCGGAATTCACCCTTTACACAGCCCCTGGGATGTCCTGCAAGTGGAGCTGTGGCTCGACCCCCGACCCGGTCAGACCGCTCCGACTCAGATCCGCCGAGCGAAGATCCGCCAGGCGTTCCTTCTGCAAGGTCTGCTTGGTCACCGCCCAGGGGCAGTCCTGCAGTGATGCGCCCACAGCTACTGTGGATGAACGAAATCCATTTCGCACCACTTTGAAACCATGGGAAACCCAGTGTTTGTTGGTATTTACAAGGAAATCATAATTCCAGGTTTGGTTAGGTGGTGCGAAATGGATTTTGTGCATCCACAGTGCGACCCCTCCAAGTTGTCTGGCTTCACCGTGGGAGAGAACCATCTTTCCGTGGTGTTGGAGGCTGGGGGGAGAAATGCCCTATTTCACTGGGTTGCCTTCTAGCGTGGTGGCCCCTGCTCGGAGTATTCCTTCGTCGAGTCTCATTTGGAACCTCAAGAAAACTAATCCAAATTCCTACCCCAGTTTGGACTGATGAAGCCCGATTTGTGTACGGATTGATAAACCACCCTCCAGCTGGCGCGAAGTAGATTTTGTCCATCCACCTATTTTGAGAACCAACTCCCACCCACCCACCAACCCAGCCCCCCTGTCCTAACGTTGGCACAACATGCCGCAATTTCAACGTAAGGGGTCCTCAGGCAGGTCCAGCAACTCCATGGTGGAGGAGACAGGCCTTGGCCAAGAACCTTCCGATCCCCTCTGTAAAACAAACAAATGAGCGCGTGTTTTTTGGGAACCCGGTTTAAATGGCTGTGGGTCAAAACCAATGGTACCATTTTGGGGTAGGTGCACCATCCATTTTAGTCTATTGTAGTGGGGATTGGGATGTTCACTGGAAATACGGGGTTTTGACCCATTGCCAAATGGAAACCATACAGGAAAACCTCCATTTTGGGGGGTCGCTTAACAAAGGGAGACCCAAATGGGCCCTGCAGCTACACACTGTTCTGATACTACTCAGTTTCCCAAAGAGACCACAAATAAAAGGTAGGTCGATTTGCTTAGGGCAAGTGAGGGCTACTTCTGTAGGGATCAGAGTCCCGTGAACCGTGGCCTTCCCACAAGTTCCGTAAGGATCCCCAAACAGCTTGCCCTGGGAGGAAGCAATGCCCCAGGAAGCGTTCACTGCGAACAGCTCTGGAAGGATGGAATTGATTGGTGTGTCTTTCTTTGTGCTTTGTCTTTTTTTGGAAGGGTTTCACGGGAAAACCGAAAGGGAGCCAACCAGATTACTTGGTGGTCTACGAACCTCGAAATGGAGAGCCCTGGAGAGCCCTGGAGCCCTGAAGCCTTTCACTGCCCACCGGGCCAGCTGCGCAAACATAAGCGTTGCGAGAAAGGCGATGGGCCTGCACCGATTCATCCACCGTCGGTGTCTATCACCAAAAAGTGTACTTTTGTGTACACTTACACACTTACACACGTAGATGTACGTGTACAGGTAGATATAGACGCGGATGCATTGAAACATATTTATCACAAACAGACGTATTCAAAATACATAATAATAGGCAGTAGGCGCGCGCCGCAAAACAAGGCGCCGCAAAACTTGGCCTGAGTAGGGCACACCCTTAAACACGGATGGTAGAGAAACACCTCACGAACATGACCACCAAAAGGTTCCACATTGACGCTCAAATTATATACGCCTGTGCGCATGTATCACGACCTCCACTCATTGAACATCATTGAACAAGGAAAGCCAAACGCCGTGGTAAACTCAAAAAAATGGGTGAGCCAGCAAGGTCACACCAAACACTTGCGTTGCTGAGGGCACCATTTGAGCTTCTTCTCCGACCTGGACGGCTCATGGCAAGATTGTAAGAAGCTCAACTCGACCTGTTGTCCCCCCCGTTTTGAGACAGCGAAGTCAAAGGCCTGGGATGAAATGACGGGACTGGTTCACGTCTTTTTCCAGACGTAACTGCGGATGGTCCAACGCGCCACCTTTCAGAAACCCTTTTTTTTCTGCCGCTTCTTCTGTAAATACCAAAAGAAACTAATGGCTCTTTTTGTGGTTTCCAGGTGATTTGTGGTTTCCAGGTGGTGCGGCGCATGGACTTCGCGTCACCACCCACCGGTCGCAAATGGAAGGTCTCCGCGAGCAATTTTCCGGGCCTTTGGAGCCTTTGGAGTCGGGATGCGATTTTGATTTCAGGACCTCCCCTCACGAGTGGTGGGCCAAGAATAGGTACCTGGGTACCCAAACCGGAACCCTGGAACGGGAAGCCAGGGCTAAAACCTGCGGTTTTCTCTTGTGGAATAATTTTGACCCATAAGTGGACCCTCAGGAATCATTTATCATGGCCCTACGAGGGCATGTGCAGCGTTTTCGGCGCTTCGAGTTAAACCGACATGCCTTGGTTTCCCTTTAAACGGGGCCACGACATGCGATCTACTGGAAAATCGCGTGGGTCCGGTGATTCGCCACAAGCTGAAACAAGGAGCTGCCAAGTAAGAACCCTGATTGAGCGAGCTCGTGTATCCCCAGGGCACCGGATTTCCAGTGTCGGCTCATGCTACAAGACGCACCTGGTCTCCCCAAACGGCTTGGTCCCTGATTCAGGCTTCAAACATCTTCAAACGGCGGAAGCCGCCGTGTGAGCTGTTGGCAAGGCGCGCCTGGATTCCAAGCCAGCGAGCGGGAGGAAAGGCACCTCAGATCTGCTCCACATTTGTTTCACTTCTGTTCACTAACCTGGAGCCAGCGGGTCTTAAGAAAAAAGAACGTCTTCCAAGACCCCTCAGTCAGGTTCCATGTAGTGGACAGGGTAGACCAGGACAACATGACGTGGGCTTCTTCAAGAGGATTTTGAAAATTGGTGTGCCCCTTGGAATTTGAGTGACAAAATGGGCAAAGCGGACAGGGAGGGGGTGACAAGTTGCAGCGACCTGAAAGCATGCCGATGCCAGCGGAGTCCAATTGGCATGGTTCGACACCCGAACGGGAGTTGTCCGAAATATGGGATCCCTTCTTAGCTGACATCAAAGGGACATAAGGGCTGATCCAACATCCAAAAGAACGATTTGCTTTTTATCCGCATCAAATATAAACACAAGACTAAGTCTAGGACAGGTGATTCAGAACCCTATAAATCAAATGCTCCCAAGAAGTTGCATGGTCTTCTTAAGACACGATTGCCCTTTGTGTACTCCCCTGTAAATTAACATGGAATTGGCCTCCCTAGAGGAGACTCGAGCGCAAAATGGCTCCATGTTGATCCACCGGTGTTGAACTACAGGTGAGCAAAGCATCCGCGCAGTTCCAAGGAACTTTGTACGAGCGCGCATTGATCAACCTGATGGAGTAATTACGAAGTGAAGGCTTCCTCTTACATGAGACACCCATAATATAAATCAACCAGGCGTCGAAAAATCCTGAACTGCCGCTACCCTCGAAGAGCTTTCAGCACATGCTGCAATGCTGGGATCCGCACACCTTCAGCATCCTCTCTGATACAATCAGCAGGTTTGTCTGAGGGGTAAACCTCAGCAGACTGCCGTCGAACGCTGCGTGTCTTGTGGCTACACGAAACATATCCCGTCCCAATGAGTCCCGAACCCAAACCCAGTGTTGAAGGAGTCTACTCAAACCCATTTAAGGATCTACTACTGCTACTACTACTGAGTTACTACTGCTACCCCCATGGCCGCAGCTGCTTCCGGCTGAAAGCGTCCCACACTACGCTCCCACGCAGGTCTTGATTTGTGCTATGATGGGATGTCAAGCATCCATCCACACGGCTGTAAACACAAGAGTGAGCCCTAGGTGGTTTCTGGTAAAGACATCCGAAAAAGCCGTCCGGTAGCTCCCTACTTTGAAGCACCTCCCACTGGGGTGCCAAAATAATTTGGGGGACCCCCGAAGCGGGTGGTGACCCTCTGTCCCTTCACATCAACTATACAAAGGGCACCCTCCCTAAGGGTCCCGCCTGTTTTTGGGCCCTCCAATTGGGTTGTTGTTGAGGGCCCTTGAGGGGTCGGGGTTCTCCATTGGAGGGTCCGGGGGTCTGCATTGGAGGGGTCATGACCGTTAGGGCTGAAAAAAAGAAGAACACATGCAAACCCCAGCCTGGTTTTTCAACTCTTCGGCGACCTTAGCCCCCCACGAAGGCCGCATGGTGCAGCGACGCCGCGAAGAGGTGGTCATTCCCCAAACGGCCCACCAGCAGCAGTGGCGCCTGCCCGAAACGAGAAGCCCAGGATAGCCAGCTTGACCCCGCAACCGAAAAACAAAAAAGGAAGCTACTCCCTACAAATTGACATGGAACCCCAGCGAACATTTTGGGTATGTCAATCTGCAGAAAGGAAAAGTACGTGTTGCACCAAAAGTGATTGAAACACCCAAAGGAACGTCAGAGGGTTGGCTTGTTTGAGCCACCTAGCCCTTTCAATCCCTCCAATTTGCTGATTTGCTTGCTGAGTCCAGGGGGGTGATGTTCACATCACCAACACAAGGACAGCTAGTTCCGTGCCGATTCAGCCACCTGGAGTCTCCATGACCCCTTAAAAATGGTGGGTCATGGCCCAAAATCATGGGGTCATGACCCTGTTAGGGGTCATGGAGACTCCTGGAAGCGACTCCCCCGGTGCACTTTTAGAGAAAAGGGACCCCCCCTCAAGGTGTGCCGTGGCTCATGAGAAATCGTGTGCCGTTGCCATGGGATGATACTTGCAGAACTCGCTACGAGATGAGTGATTGTATGCCAAAAAGGAATTCAGCAAAGTTGCTCCACAACTATAAGTTGGCAACTGAAAAGGAATTTGCAATGTTGCCAAAAAGGAACTCATAAAACTATATATATATATACATAATTTGCCAAGTTGCCATGTGCGGCCCTCCTGTATTCTGTGCTTCTTTGGGCGTTGTGCAAATGAGGCTAGTATAGTCCGTCCAGGGCCTACAAAAGAATCAGAAACCCTCCCGACCGCATTCTCAACTAATAGCCGGAATCGGATGGGAACAACGTGAAGGTGCTAAAGGACATCTGTGGGTCGACGGCCTCACCCAAAAAATGCCAAGGCCCAGCTGAGTGTCCGGCCCAGGGGCGCTGCGACTGTTGAATCTTCAGCTCCTGCGAGCCCGAGGCTCACTGCAAAGGGAACGGTCGCTGGATTCTCAGATGCGCAGTGGATTCCACGGGTAGAGAAGGGCATCTTTTTTTGGTTGGTTGAGTTTAAAGGGGAAGCCTTCTCCAAAAAAAGAAAATTGCAATTTACTGGTGGGTTCCATGGAAACTACAGCTTGTGGGGAAACCCTGGAGAGAAAAAGGGCAAACATCGCGCTCGGTTCGCCCAGTGTCACATTCCTATGGGGATTTTGGGTTGGCAGGCGCGCAGAAAAAGGTTCGCCGCGTGCCATGGCGACCTCACAAAACCACCAGATTCCAAAGCGCTGGTCTGGGTTCTCGCCCGAAGGTGAAACCTCGATCTGCTCTGGGAGTGACTGAGACATCCAGGTCCCGCAAAAAGCTTCGAAGTGAAGCGCAAAACTCACTCTGTCATGCATGAGCCATCTCCCCGCGAAAACAAACATGAGATCCAAAGATATATCTACGAAGTCAGCTTCGTCCGCTCCAGTGTCCGAGGGAACTCGTTGGCAGGAAAAGGTAATGTTGAAACTGGGCGAGTGGCCAAGGGCCATACAGAACACCCTGGATGGCCTAGCAGGAAGTCGCTAGCAACCGCTACTAAGGACTTGCTACGGGTGAATCATTCTTCGTTCACCAATTCGGGTGGTGATCCAAGAATCCCCGAGTCAAACTATGTGGACCCCTCAGAAAAGGGTGGACCTTTGACATGAAGTTCTCTCTTGCAAGGGGGGCCAAGAGCAAAGTGCTTGATGTGGCCGTGCTCACGACAGGGGGGGGCGGTCGTCCGATGTGAGTGAGTGAAGCAAAGTGCTTGATGAATCGCCCCGATTCTCTCAAACAACTTCTGCCAGACCCAGGCAGGTGACGTCCGCACTCGAGGGCCGCTTTTGGGAAGTTTGAAGGTTTATGAGTAGTTGCTTCAAGTGTTGCCTGGGCGTTTTCAGATCCCCTGCTAAAAGTGCACAACTTTGAGTGGGAGTACGGAAACCCAACGACTCATTAAACCAACAAAAAACCTGAACAAAAACCCAAGGGCATGGCTGGGAACCACCAAGGTTCGGGTTCATCCGAAAAAGGGATCCACTAAACCCTAAAGCCTAACAACCCTCCTTCACACCCAAACATGGCAGTTCCATGGAAGTCGCCCAACCCCAACCCAAGCCGTGTTTCCACAAACTTTTGGGGGGGTCATGTGGGGCAAAACAACCTAAAACCTCGAGAAAAAAACGATGAACAACCAGATACATACCCCGTGCTCCCCCCTCACGAGCGCCCCCCTTGGGCCTGCAATCTTGGTATTTGCTGGCTCGAGTGTTTTTGCAGTTTGGGGCAAAAACCAAAAAAGAAACGAGAAAAACAAACACAAACCCCAACAAGTTGCCCATTCTGTCTGCAGTCTTCTTGCATGGTCTTTCGTTCTTTTGTTGAAAAGAGAATTCCTCTTCAAGAATTTGCTGACAATTGGGATAGAATCTTTAAAACCAAATGTAAGGAACCACATCATGTATGGTGTCTATCCGAAGCCAAAGTTTAAATTGGAATGCCGTTCCCAATATGGTCTTCCAACAACTGCAAACCACCTCCAGTTTTCCAGAAAAACAAACAAACACAAGGGTAAGCTTTTAACCTCCGCTTCTATGCAGTCGGCTGTCATGAAGGGCAACAAGCTGAAAAGAACTACCGACGAAGTCAAGCAGGACATTGTGATGTGAAGTGCAAGAATGTCAGCAGAATGTGATGGCAATTCAGCGTTGAGGCAAAGATGCAGATCGAATTTGTAAGTCTGTAAGTCGACATATAGTTTAATATGATGGGTAGCCAGATTGCATTACTTCGCACAGCTTAAATTGTGCAAAATAGCACACTCCCACAGCTTCCCGCTCTCTTGTTTTTTGGGTACCCCATTTTTGGGGGTTGGGCGTGTCTAATCAAAGGGAAGCAAAAGCCAACTTGGTCTTTCTGACCACCTCATTATTCCCTTATCTTGGTCGACGCTCAACCCTTGACCTAGGACTTAAGTATGTTCCGCCATCGTCATTCGAGTCAAGGGCAACCATGCAAGACTTCCAGTTGCTTAAGCCCCCTGGAAAAAAAAGGTAGAGAAACCGATTCCCTATGCAAACCAACAGGGGAAAAAACAACAATATATTTAAAAAACACATGGATGAAGCTACTGCCACACGTTGACCGATACCCGGCAAATCATTTGGCTCACAAGTCGATCGAACCCAAGCCATGGTTCGTTGGGTTTGGGGTGCCGGTGGCACACGCCGACAGGACCTTCAAGGCGCTCATGTTGGTGGCCAAGTCGTAGCGCTGGAGGTACAGCCTGGGAAACAAATCGAAGCCTGGGCAGTGGAAGCAGCCTGCCAACCCTCGCCCCCCCAAAAAACACACCACCAACACCAACAACAACCTTGTTGGTGGTGGTGGTGGTGGCACGGGGGTGGTGGGGGGCGATTTACAGCCAACAGTCACCCCCCTTCCAACCAAAAAGGTTGCTACAGATTTGTAGCAAGAGTGGGTCATATTCCAAACGCCTGTTTTGAGGGGTCATGGAGGTCCACTCGTCGATTTGTCCGCCAATGGGCAGACGACGACGCCAGTCGGAAGTGGATGAGTTTAGCTTGTCGATGGACTAAGCAGATTTGAACATGGCTCCTTACATGTCCTTTTTAAGCATCACCCCACCAAAGAAAAGTCCTCGTGCAAATGTGTTTGGTATGGCCCAAAAGGCAAACATGAAAGGACTCCTGTTTCCTGTTGGTTCCCTTCAAACCCAAACAAATCTGAATCCAGACCAAAAAAGCAACATGCCCATTTTTTTCCGATGCAATGCTGCCACCCGATTGCTAGCAACATGCCGGGAAGCCTTGCCAATCTTGCACTGCCGTGGTTGAAAGGCCTAAAGAATACTTTACTCCCTTCCCCAACGGTGTTAGGACATTGTTCACTTATAAATCATATAGTGAGGGCATCTAGTGCAGCAAGCATTGCACAACAAATACCACAAGGCTTCAAGGCAATGGTGCAGTATTGTAGACCACTGTGTCCTGGACTCAATGCAATGTCACAGCCACAAGCGTGCTGTGGGCAGTCGCACCTTGCCCCTTTTCTGAACGTCGCAACATGCCATGGGCCCGAAACAAGGCGAAGAGTGGCAACAACCCCCATGTCGCGGGGATTTCTTGGGCCGATTCAGGGTAAGCGGCAGGCGACTGGGATCTTCCCCTGCCTTTTAGGAGCAGGAAACAGCGGACAAACAAAAACAAATTGAGAATACGTTTCAATCTAGCGCGAACTAACAAACAAACAACACATGTTTGCTGGAGGAACCTCCCAGAAGGAGCTTTTGTTGGGTACCGTTTTAATTCGCAGGGGAGGATGGTTCGTGCACTGTGGTTGCACCTGCGTACTGATGTTGCTGATCATTAATTCCCACAAAGTAAACAAGTTCCTCTGAAACGGAACACACCCAAACATCACCCCAACAGGAATACGCCTTCAAATTGGCCCCAAAAGGTGATGTGTCAAGCTTAAAACCACCAAAGGGAAAATCTATTTGGAGCCCCTAGAAAATGGACCACCAGGACCCCGAAAGCCCGAGCTTCGGGCAGGAGCAATGCTGGCAAATCCTCACCGAACGGATGGCTATGTGGCGGGTGCGACATTTGTGATCAAACGCGAGTGGGTGGGCTCTAACTCTACTCACCAGGAAGTGTGTGTTTCAGCATGTGAATAATACTGTATACACATACGAATATGTATTTGGTCATGTGCATATATGTCTGTCTAATAATATATATATATATACATACAAATATGATAATACATACACATGTGTGATTCTTCCTAAAAGGCTCAAGACTGGGCAGCTCGAGTGGTTCTATCAGTTCAGCCATCTGATGTGGTGGCTTGAAGCGCATGCTAGGTTGGAGACAAACCCCTTCCCCAGTTGAATGAATAGTTTGGTCAGCAAGTAGTTTCATGGCCCCCCAAGGAGGGCTCCTGCTGCCCCCCCCCCCCCATAACCCCACGTAAGGGTCTCCCGAAAAGGCTTACCCTATCTAGAACCCATGGAATGCACTGAAAAGCGGGCTGCAAATCACGAATCGGGCCGAAAACAAACACACCCAAATGCCCTTTTCAAACCTTCAAGGGCATCGATCCGAGGGTCATTGTCGATGCAGAAGTTGATGAAGAAGCAGTGGAAGGGGCTGACCTGACGGCCGGAGAGAGAGCGCTCGCGAGCTTTGGCTTGTTGAACGGACCCGGACATTGCAGGACCTTTTGCACTACGTACCTGGCGTTGATCCTCCCTAGACATTGGATTGGTGTTGGGTCTCCCGTTGATCCTGAGGCAATGTGCCCAGAAATCATGACTTGAATGTAGGACTCAGAGCCACAATCACAACCGGCTAAAACTCAACCTTCGAGAACCAAACTGGGGCCCGTAACTGGGGTCTGTTGAGTTGACATCGCATTCTCCTCTAAATGGGATTGTCTGGCCTCGGAGTTGGTACTTTTTTGTAGCTTTCAAGGAAATCCGCCATTGTGTGGGTCCCGTAAAAAACGACACACCCAACTGGTGGTGTAGAGAGAAACGACACCCACGAGTAGTTTGGACACCTCTTTAAAAACTTCGATGTAGGAGACCCAGAAGCGGAAGCCCCCGATCACAGCCTGCCGCTGCCACTCACGCACACAACTTGGGAGGTCAGTCAAAGCCCCTGTGGTGCTTCCCCTAGCCCAAGCAGTCAAAGTAATTGTCTAAATACTCCTAATGAGCGAAAGAGAAGACGGTTTGTAATTCTTTAGCCGCCACTAGAAATGAGGACCTGCAAGTTCTGTGAGATCTTGGGGGCCAGTTGGGAAGGCTGAAACGGGCTGCTGTCAAACGTCCCTGACCCGAAGAAGGCCAAATTTTCCGGACCAGTGTCCAACCAAACCCTTCCGGGGAGGTGAAACAAAACCACATCTGGGTGGGGGAAACCATGCCGACCCTGCGCCAATGAACTTGTTTCGTTAAGGGAGGTGACCCCACAAGTGAAGATGAGACGGCATGAAGCACCCTTGATTGGGCACCATACAAACTGTATGCTCCTCCACTCATCAATCCTTGGGCACCCTCCCTTTTCACATGGATGGCCTCGTTCCTGCGGCATGCAACCAATCTCAACCACCATCTATCAGGGGTCACCAGATTTCCCCTTCCACAGATGCAATTAGGTGGTGGTTTCCATTGAAACGATCGCCACTTTCGGTGGTTTCAGAAAGGGAAACGGCTTGGTAACCCTTTCCATTCCAGCCAAAGTCACCTAAGAACTCCCCCCAAAAAAAACCCAAACCCCCCCCCCAAACCCCCCCAAAACCCCCCCCCAAACCCCCCCAAACCCCCCAAACCCCCCCCAAACCCCCCAAACCCCCCAACCCCCCAAACCCCCCAACCCCCCAAACCCCAAACCCCCAAACCCCCCCCAAACCCCCCAAACCCCCCCAACCCCGCTTCAAACCTCGCACCACCCTTCCCCCCCAAAAAAAAACACGCGCCTGGCCCATGGGCAGCAATTGGTCCAGCGGCAGGGCGCCTCCCTCCAACCCACCCGCGGAGCGCCGCTCCTCGTCCTCGCGAAACTCGCGCGAAGCTCGCGCCCGAGGCTTCCCCGAGCTCCCCGTTTGCCGCCCCCCCCCCCCCGGCGTCGAGTGAGGGTCGTGCAATGGGCTGGGGGAAAAGCTCAAAGACCAAAAGTCATAGAGGCAAACTCTTGAGCATCATCGGTTTGCACCTGGCATGAGTTGAGCTGCTTTTTGGGAGAAGCCGAAAACGAAAGTGTCCAAAAGGTCCGAATTGGGGCCTGACCTGGCGCCACCAAACACCAGCGGTGTCACGTAGACCACTGCTGCCGGCTTTTAGAAGCCAGGGTCACGAGTTCTTATTGTGGGCGCTGAGTGTCTGGGTAGTGCTCCTCAACGGCTCCTGTTTAAAGAAGCTTTCTTTTGGTTTCTCTTTCCTCCAGTCGCAAAACTGCTAAAGCCCACCCAGCGGGACTCACTTCCGATGGAGTGGATTGGCCGGAAAAGAAATAGAAGAAGCTCGACGAAAGCTGTCCGGAACGGAGAGAGCCGAGGCGTTGTTAGAAAAATTCGGCGTGAGTCGAAGGATCCGACAATCGAAGAAGCTGCGAGAGGCTTGGGAATGAGAAATGGAACACAGCCGATCCAGGTAAAGGAAACCAGCGGTTGGATGAATTCACACAGCGATCCCCTTGATACTAGGCTGGAATTAGGACCCCAGCAAAACATATATATTTTTTTGCCTGGTTAGTGGAAAACAAAGGGGACCCCAAAAAAGCAAAAAAGGAAAAGGGGGAGCTAATTCTGGGGAAGTATAAAGGAAACCACCAGTTGGATTTTGTTTGTAACGGTAATTCCCTCATTCTCTGCCAATCGCACCAGCAAGCAATTTTGCGCGAACGCCAGGTTTCGTTTGGTTGATCTCCTCTGGAAACCGCACCCTTTCTTTCCAGGGGAACAAGGAAAACACTGGTCAAGATATAAACTCCTGGGCTTCAAGATCAATCCTATGAATTGCCTGTCCGACTCCTTGTCACATGGCAGCGACGACACCAAATGCAACCAAAGAACAGCGAGCAGTTGCTGGCTACTTTCTTCCACCCCCCCCCAAAACAAACAAAACCTGCTTCATCCTGCTTCATGGGAAAACCATGTACCACGTTTCCCAACTCACAGGTTCACGGTCCAACCCCAAATAGCATTTAAGTAGAGGCGTTTTATCCTGATGCCCCTTCAAGAGGGCAATCCCTACCCTACGTGTTTGCCATCAGATATGGATATGGATGTGTGTGTGTGTGTGCGTTTTTGGATTGGTTTGCAGGGACACCAAAAGCAAGCCACCATTTGGGGGTCTCGGTCCAGATCACGATCTTGACACGTTTCCTCTCTCCAATGAAACAAATTTGCTACTCAGCAGGATGCAACTGGCTGGAGCATGGAAACCTCCAAGTCGGGTGCCGGTTCGCTCGTTGTTTTCTTGTAAAATAGACAAGGTCTGTGCGATCTGTTCTGAAACACCAGCCAGAGAAGAACTGGCCGTGCTTGGTCCCGGCCTCTGCTCGAACGAATCGAACCCGCTTCGTCCTCCCCGAAGAGCTTGCCGCAGAGCGTCAGCCGGCACAAGAGCGCCTGTCGGCGCTGACGCCCAAACCTACAATTGGGGTATGACCCTCGTTTGGTGGGGGAGGGATTTTCCCTGGAGTCTCCATGACCCTGAAAAAATGAGTCCATGAGGTCAAATGGTTGATTTTCCAAAATGGGGTTCTTAAAATGTACGATTCCAGATTCCCAGCGCATTCCAGTCACCACTATAGGAGGTAAACAGCCATTTACCCTTGGATACCTAGTAGGCAGGGGAAACGGAATCACTGGGTAGGCTATGAGGGGTTCTCAAAATGGTGGATAACATCCGAAGAAAGCCAAAAACCGGGGAGCAAGGGACTCTCCAGTACGGGCCCCAGTACTCATGTGAGCTCCATGTAGCCCCAAATCGGTGAGCTCGTG